CATACTCACCTGAGACATGATAAGCATTTCTCTGTCAAGTAGTAGGGCAAGTGCACTTTGAGTAGTTTTTGGTCAACTAATCTATGCTATAAGTCATAACATTACATATAATATATATATACTATATAGTATTACTTTCATTACCATGATAGTAGCTTTCTATTAATTGACTACTAATGAGTAATGATAACAACTACTTCTACTCATCAGTTTTCTATTTAGATAACAAAAATAAAATACATAATTTTACTTAACTGAATACAAGTTCACAATGTCCTATCATTTTCTAGTGTATGGGAGACTGAGAAAAGAAGAACGTATTGTTCTTAAAGAACAATATGTAAAAGTGGGCTTTTGTTTCCTTCCACCACCACCACTGTTTTTATAATTTCATTATTTCCTTGGCAGCTCGTTTCACAATGAAGCCATTATACACATGTTTTCTGCTGTCAAGTTTGCATTGACATCCACATCCTTCCTACCCTAAAGGGACAAAGCTTCACCAGCAATCGATCGATCACATGACCTCAGTCTTGACCCTTGACCTATGCATTGTATAGTGACATCACTCACTGTTCAGCTTTTGGCTAGAAGGCATTTCAGATTCACTTGACTGTCTTTAACATCTCTTGTCAATTCGAACATTGGACAGGAAGGCAGCGGATATTGCCACCACAAAACACAACACCCACGTTGCTCTGCACACTTGGGTCATTGAATTTCTCCAAGTTTCTGACCACTAATTACTACATGTATGACTTATCCTCCGCACGATGAAGGACAGGGTGCCTTTTGTGATGTTGCAGAGAAGTGACTCATATAAAGACTTACCACAGCAGCACAGAGAGATCCGGAGATCAGAAGGAGGGAGGAGGAGGTGTAACTAGATCCAGGGAAGTCCTCAGGCTTCTGTCCAGTCCAGAAAGATTGAGAAAAAAAATCATTGGGTCTCTGCAAAGATAGATTACATCGACTGGGCATATTTGTTAAGGGATTACATAGAGTGCAGTTCAAAGTCAGTTCATTGGGATAAATATGTGTACACGCAAATTATGTCAGAAAGCAAAAACTGGAAGGTCAGGCTCCTGTTTGTCTCCATGGAGATGTTATTGCTTTGCCTAAAATTATGGAAACATTTAATATTATTAGGCAAATTACAAACCAGATCTGTGGAGAGGAGACCTTGCTCACAGTAAAAATGCATGTTTCTAGGTATTCTTTTAACAATAAAACTAACAGGTGATAGATAAGTTTAATCCCATACTGCGGAACATTCCTCAAAGCATTAAACAAGCATGTGGCGAACCTTCCACCAGGAACGTTACATTCGTGTATTTTGAGTAGTTAATAAAGTAAACCCTATCGGCGTATAATACTTTATCCATCATTATATAATTGCTTCCCCCATTTCCTCTCAGGTCTTCTGTTCTTTGTGAAGTGCTACTGTCTTTGTAACCCTACTCTCCACCTCCCACCCCCTCAGGCCCCAGGAGCCAATGAAAGTGATGTAATGGGAAGAACAGATCAAGATCCATCAATACAGACCTGAAACCTAACCTGCGCACCTGCCCTGACCAGTGGACCTTAGTTATACCTATTAGCAAACGCAATTATGAACCACGATTATAGCTTAGAGGGAATAAATCTGAAATGTTAATATGTGCCTGTCAAAATTATGGTTGAAGGAGGAATTTTGACTCACCACACTGAGAAATGACCTTGAGTGTTGCAGTAGCTCTTACTGTGGTGTAAGCTAAAGAAGAGAGGGAAGAAGATTTAGCTTATCAGAACAGAGCAGAGGGTCTCAGACGGTGTCATGGTGGGTCTCCCCGGTGGTAGTCACAAGCTTCGTTTCCTAGTTTAGTTCTGTCAAGAACAGGCAAAGTTTCTGGAGCAGTGATGGTTTCTAACTGGTGTAGACACCCGTTTTGCCCAATTTAGTCCCTATTTAAAGTGGGTTTAGACCTGTAGTAGTTTTGGGAACCTTAAGACTCATTTTAGGCCTGATCATTTTTGGCTTATTTTGGTTAATTTTTCATGACAAAAATATCACTAGTCCATGTTACAGGACAGATCTGTGGAGTGGCGACCACAAGTCATAGTGTTTTTGAGTGTGTTTAATGCCGTGCTGTGTAAAATTCCAGGCAAAGTAGTAACATATCTATAGCGACAAGCAGGTGGAAAAGTTACAAAGAGCACTTTCAAATATATTCAATCAAACTATTTTTATTAAAGTTGCTTCAAAATATTGTCCATCACTTTATCATTTCTGTATCTTCTGTGTGCTCTGTGTCTCTGTAACATCACTGTATCGGCTTTTCCTCAGCTTTTTTGTATACAGTTTGTCCTGACTCCTGAGGCATTTCTATGCAGTGTAAATCATGGGACACACCCGCCCCCTGTACAGCTGTCATGGTGCCTCAAAGTGCAATAACTGTAGAGGTGTCCACCCCTCTCCCTCTCCCCATCCTGGCCCTCTCTGCAGGACGCCCGTTTGTCCTGGATTGGTGTAAGCTCCTTGTGTTTCCTCTATCCTCTGTTGGGATAAAGGGAGCAGGGTGCCTCACAGACATCTGTCCCACTGATATGGAGCACATGCATCTTTGAGATATGGACATTATTTAGATTCATTCACTGTTTTCTATAAGGCACGCTGAGGACACATCAATACATCCTTTACCCCCGACCGTTCAGCTTATTGAGTTACAGCAGCGAAGAGAGTCATGTATGGGTTATAATGTTGTGAAATAGAAGAACTATACTGACAGTAAATGAATCAACACTGACATTGGAGAAATTAACAAATGCAGTGAGGTATCTTGCATTTCTTCAATAACAGATGATTTCATTCCTAAACAACACCTCCAAAAACATACATTCTACCATCAGAGGGCTCTCCTCTCCACAGATCTGACCTTTAACTTGTCTTGGTGGAATTATCTGCTTATCTCCATGGATCTAAAAACATTTAAGGAAATCCAGTGAAACATTCCAGGCAAAGAAATAACATCTCCATGGAGACAAAGAGTTGACAAAACCTCCACGAGGAAAGTTACACAGTGCACCTTTTCGATGATTCATCCCGTTTATGGCATTACAATACACAGACCATGTATCACATGAGGACAGTTTGTTGTCTGATCTTCCCAGTGCCATATATGGGTGAGTTTCCATAGTACTACTGCAGTAGTTTGTATACAGTCCCAGTTTAGATTTATCATGAATGAAAGCTTGTACACATTCCTCCCCAAGGCAGAGAGGAAAGATGATATCAACAACAGCTGCCGGCAGTTACTATGTGTTATATTTACTGCACCACTGTAAAACTCAGTTACAGCTAAATGTTTGGGTTTACAAGAGAAATTTCCAAATATGACCGATATGGATGAATGCAGTTAATTCAAAGTCATTTATTACATACAGACTACTTAAAGATGCACTATGTATGTGTCTGTAACATTGTGTCTGCATCTGTCATCACGGAGACAAGCAGGTGACAACACCAGTTCAAGGTACAGGTCAGATCTGGGAAGAGGCAACTCCAATCACGGTTAGAATGCAGGTTTTTTTGAGCAATAACATGCCCTCTATTGAATAAATACAATATAAATAAGTTTAATGTACTTATGGATAATCCAGGCAACACAGTAAGATCTCCATGGAGACAAGCAGGTGGCTTATTGTCTACAAGAAAAATTACAAAATGCACCTTTAATTATACTATATATCTTTCAAAAAATACAAAACAGTCATGTTTACCTCTGTTACATAACCCACCTGTCAAATAAAAGAGCCCTCTCCCTCTGCAGCTTATTCCACTGTCTACCACTGTATCCCACACTCTACATCCTCGGAGTACTTGTAACATCACACACATTTAATCTGAATATTGGACCAAAAGTTGCCACTGCACCCTACTTTAAATCCTCTGTTTTTGTGTAATGTGGCTATAGCAGATGCTGGCTCAGTGGCTGGTCTGACGCACTTCACAGCTGGCCGCTCGGACCAAAGCCAAGACGACATGTAACACCCACAATCTGCAGCTCAACGCCGTCCAAAACACAGGAAACATGCTTTGATTTAGCTTCACTTTGAAATGACCTGAGGACGCCACTGCAGCTCAGACACACAGCCAAATGAGCTCACAGCTGCCTGCCAGCCCATTCACCGGCAGAGGGTACGTAAAATATAAAATCCTTTCGACATCTCTGCTTAAATAGAAAATACGATTGTTTATTTCTGTTTCCTTTTCCTGTTAGAGAAAATGCATATTGTACCCAAAAGCAGTGATATCCAACAAAATTAAGTCATGGGAATCCAGTATCAGGCCCCAGAGGAGACTTTTTAAAAAAATGTATTATATGTGTTGTACTCTGAAATTACGTAGTGCAAATTTACGTTTAGGAAACTAGAAGTAATAGGATTTTTTTCCCACTAGGGTTAGGGGTTGTACACATTTTCCACTGTTATTAGCAGTTCAGGTCCCTGCTGAAAAAAAAAAAAGATCTTTATTACTGGTTCTTACAAGACACAAAAAGTCAGAAGTGAATGTATTATTTGTGAAGATTAAACAACTGTGTCAAAAATGTGTACAACATCTATAAATCTTTCCAAATGTGCAGATTTTCAGGGACCATATGACCAATGTTGTTTAATTAAAGAAGAATGTCAGATCAAGATTTTAAAAGCCCTAAAATGAGGAATTATCTAAATGTTGCAAAAACTCTGTAGGAAGAATTTGTAATATTATCAAAGTCCATTGACAGAATTTAATTGCATTTTAATCTGATGGTGACCAAATGCTGAACTTTTAAGTGTTTGACCGCATTTTCCCAAAACATAATCGCTAAAAAAAATCCTGCACAAATTGACCTCTGGGTGAGAAGTTTTATCCTTCATTTAAATCTGACTATAGCCGGATAACAAACTCCATAATGTTCAGAAAAAAATTATAAATCACAGAAATAATGCTTATACTCTTAAAACAACTGCTAAAGAAATTGATGCAAAACTGATTTTATTCTCTTTTTTCAGTCGGGCTATGAATGAACTACACTGGCCAACAGTTGAGATGTTAAATATTCATAGGTACAAGTAAATCAGTTTTTGAAGTTTAACTAAAGGCTTAAAATATCATTCACATAGCTACTATTAAAAGAAATTGGAATATGGCTTCTCCTTTTGACCAAATTAAAATATTACAAAAAGACATAAAAATGCTGGCTCAGCTAAATGTAATACAGGAAAAAAGGAAGCTTGTTTGTGGGGGTTGAACTGTATTTACACAATAACCAAGGTATTCTGTACTCTGCCATTTCTCATCATCAATTATTCACAATGCAGGCCACTTTAGGGCAGCCTGAAAACCGTGAATGGGGCGTATGAATGTATGTATGTGACAGAATTGCTCATCAGCAGACTGGGATGGGTCAAAACAATGTCAAATGTCTTTCTGTGGGCTTACTCTTGTACATACAAACAGCATTGGGATTAAGGCTTTAGAGAAACCTTCACACAACATGCACAGGGTCAGATCTGGTCAGGGTTTGAGGCACTCATTCACTGTGGATAAGACGTCCTGGAGAATGGAGTTTCTGTTTTCTTTAGAAATCTGATGGAAAAAAGAAAAATGCACATTAATTAGAACAATGGTAAATAAATTCTGTGTTACATGGAAAAATACATGTAGGTTTCTCACAGTAAAGTAGATTACAGTTAGTTTCAGTTTCAGCTATTCTATACTTTGAACTGCTAAACTGATACAAGAATACTATACATTTCAGGACATGTTTGTAGAGGTACACATAGCTTTTTTTTTTTTTTTCTGAGGAATTCTTGAAATGTAATTATAAAACAAACAAAACAGACAAAGCCTAATCTATGTAGGTTGTGGTTCACCAAATATAAGGTCATTACCCTGGAAAACACAAGGTCAATATGAGTCAAAACTCAAAGTCCATTATCTGCATAAAAATCAAACTCCATGTGTCGATGTGACATAACACCATTACCACAGGCAGATGACTTTCAAAAGAGTCACAATAATGAGAAATGTACTTTTTTTTTTTTTTTTTACAATGTATGTGTTACACTTTAATAAATGCAGTAATTACCAATAAGTGATGAACTATCATTGGGACAGACAGAGTGCATGGAGTTTGAGTTTTGGCTACATTACAGTTCAGAATCATAATCTACATTAAATATGTGGTTAGTCAGGCCTAAGTCCTAAACATGTGCAGTTAAAGTTAAAACTTGTATAGTATTAAATGTCATGTCTTGTTTCATGACTTGAAAAGTTCAATTTAAAGGGTTAAACACTTTCACTAGTTTATCTACAGTATGTGTCCACCATGTTAAAGAGACCATTGATAAATCATTATTACTGTAACCTCCTATGGTCATCCACTGTAAATAAAGCTCCAGATCACACAGTACATTTACTGTTACACAGTGCTGCTAGTCATGCTCCCAGCGTTTTGCATGACAATAACCATAACCGAGTCCACCATGATGAATTATTTTGACATTTGAGACCAGCCTTTGTTGTTGAATCAGTCACGCATGATTTAGAGTTAATCCTGCTATAGGAGAGGGATAATGCGCTCCATGGACCTTCTGTACCACACTGACCGACAACACAGAGAGCATACCGTCAGTAAAGCAGGAAAGTAAAGCAGCAACCTATAGAGAGGGCACGACTTAGTCACCAAAAGTGACCTAATTCCAATACATGCAGGACTGTCTGGGTTTTATTGTAGTTTTAGTTTACAGTAGGGACTTTTTCTTGGTGTGTATTTTGGTCTCTATATGACATGGTAATTTATACACAAGGTAAAGAATATGGAACAAACAAATCCCACTTTTCCTCTTTAATCTTTTTCCCCATTGTGTAAAGAAAAAACATTATCAGGATGTTCACACTTCCCCTAGTTTGGTCCTGGTTTGAGCCCATTTTAGTCCTGGTGTAGACTTGGTTTGGTCCAGTTTTTGTCCTGGTTTAGTCCTAGTCTAATCTTTAGTTCATGGTTTCCAGTTTAGTCCTATTTTAATGTGGTGAATGTTTCCTTAGTTATTAAAGGGCTCACATTACGTAATTTTCTGATCTATGATACAATGCTCTTTCGTGACCAAAAACATTCTCTTCTCTCAAAAACACTTTACTGCCTTGTAATGTCAGACAGGACGTGCTCCACTGTGTTTTTAAACTCCATATACCTTCAACCTTCGCTAGAATCATTTGGATAATTTCAGCCCTAGAACTGCCAATCTCTTCTGAACAAAAGATAAAATGTATTGGCAAACTTGAAAACTACTGCTTCATGACATCACAAGGTGGAACAGAACATTCTGAACTTGGGAGATGTAAATACTCTAATAATAAAGGCTAACTCAAAAAAGTGTGAATGAAACATAACACCACACCAGATATGTTTTTGATGAGTATTATAAGATGGCTTAAAGCTAAAATGTCAATTTAACTTTAAGACTAAATGCAACTTACTACTGCCAATCTATATACTGTGCTTGACTGACTGTAATATATTTTAGAACTGCATTTAATTTGTATAGCACTCTTTGGACACTCAGCAACATCGTAAACTGCACTGTTTATTCATTCCACCCCTAGTGACTGTTTACTCACCGTATAGACCCTGATGTCGCTCCGGGCCCGCACCTCCTCCACCAGAGCCAAAGGTTTGTGTTTGGGGACTGGGATGGTTCCCAGGATGGTGCAAGAGGAGGAATCCAGAGTCTGTTTCACGGCTCTGATGAATGACTGGCTGAACAGCTCCATTTTACCGATCTCGTCAATGATGAAGACCTTTTTAGTCACTCCTCCTGAGTCCACCTGACAACAAGGAGGAGGAAACCCAAGGTGACCTCTGAATGGATTCTTGCCATTTAATAAAACATGTGGTTAAGTATTTCCTTCATTACAATTAGAAGGAGGCAAAATGTCATGGGCCTATTAGCTTCTGGTAATGAAATACAATACTAGAGTGGAAAATTAATTTATTCCCTTCTTATTTATTTCTTCCCATTTATCTGTCTTAACTAATATTTCTTCCCATTTATCTGTCTTAACTTGTTTTGTATCCACCACAAGTCCAAAGACGCTACATCTTGGCTGTCAAACATAAAATATTCACATACAGTGATTAAAAAGTTCAACTGATTTAATATTTGATTTAAGGTTAAGTCCTTTTGACTTTGCTGAAAAATTTAGTACATATAAATTGTCAACTATCTTTTCTTGCATTTCATCTTAATTATAGGTGTCGTTTTGAGGACATTTCACTTGTTCATATTAATCCAAAAGATATCACATTTGTTTTAAATTGTTAATTGTTATGGAAACGGTCCTAATTATTAATCATTCTGAAACCCCTGGATATTTGTACATAAAGCACATGCTATGACAGTCACACATCATTGTGAATTATTAAACAGATGCAGCTGAGGTTGAAAGTTCACAGACTGCGTCACTAAATGCTCACAGTGGTGGGTTCAGAAAGCCCCAGCACTGCCCTCTATCCTCCTACATGATTTAGAAGTGGCTTTTTCTGGTGGTTTTGTTACATTTTAGTTTGGGTTGAAAGGTCATTTTTGAAACAGTCTTAAAGCTTACAGCCGTGATCCCACAGAAAGAGTCAATGGGGTGAACGTCAAGCTATATTTAAGGATACTCAACAATTTATAGACAGGTTTGTCCTTAAGGCAATGACTTTCAAATGCCTGAACATAGGAACGGACATGTGTTGCAGACATAGTGGAACCAAATCAGTCAGTGCTGTGTATCCGGAGTCACAGTATACACATTTAAATACCTGCAAGTTGTGAACTTTAGAAGAGACATATTCTCTAAAGAGTTATTGGTTTGGCTATGGCATATTTAAAGAAAGCAAATAAACCAGGTCATATTGTTTATTGCACTCTGTAAAGTATTAAAGCAAAGTGATTTTTATCTGTGAAAGGTACTCTATAAATAAAGTCTTACTTACTTACTTACTTACTTACTTATTTACTTACTTACTTGGAAGTATATAGAGTTACATTTAAGTAGATGATCAGTACTTTACTTTTTAATTTAAACAGAAAGTGCAGTTGACGTTTAGCGTTGATTGTTTTTAAAATGAATTACATTTTTTCTGTGTATTTTTATTGTTATATTGTTATAATGCTAACCTAAATGTCTTTCTTATGTCTATATTTTTCTGATGCTGTGATTGTCTCCTGCCAAGCAAATCTTAAATAAATTTGGTCTAAAACTGTATTTCGCCATTTACACAACTTTCACAATTTTATCATCTATATTTTAAACAAGCTACAAATAATAAAAGAACAGCTTTTGGACTAAAAACTGTGGAATTAAGACCCCGTGGAGTATAGTATTCTTAACTCATAATTAAGAACTGTAAAACCTCATCAGTAAAAATAACCCTCTTTTAACTGTTAACATGCCAAAAGAATTTACACTTTTTACATCCACTGCTCAGGGCTTGTTTGTGAACCTCAGAGGGAGTTCCTTTATGCAACTACAGTAGATTACAGTAATGAGTGATTAGTAGTGATTAAAGAGTGGCTCTGAGTGAGACAAAAGTGGACTCAAACATCTCCAGTTCTTCTTATGTAGGCAGCCCTCCAAGCTCATTTTACATGCCGAATTAATCACGACCAGTGACAGCCAGACGGCACCAGCTACACTAAAAATGTCAGAGAGGAATTTATGCCTTTTTCGAGCTTCAAATTATTCCATCAATTCTGTGGAAATCAAAGGTCTGATGATTTCTTAAAAGGAGATGAGGACAAGTGTTTTCCCTAGTGTGATCTATTGATGATGGTAATTTTTGTAAAGCACATGTGGGCCTGCATTTTTGAAGAGGAGCTAAGTTTTAAAATTACAGGAAATCAACATATCTGCAAAGTTTCTGTGGGTCTGACTGGTCCAAGTTCAAAGTTTTGCATTGGTCTAACAGAAAAGCAGGTTGAACTGAGTAGCTGCCTTGAGTCAAAAATGGTCACAATTCTTGAATCATGGGCCACTAATGCTCATGGGATACCTAATACTCATTGTTGAATGAGGTGTATGGCCATATTGCACATGAGTGATGATGTGTGAGTATGTATGGTTCAGCTAGTGTACACTGGGAATTGTTCTTATTGTTGATTGAGTGTAATTGCATTGCATTAAAAACTAGCTATTAAACTCTAATCAGGTGAGGCCCATACATAGAGCTTAATGTCTCTGTTGTTGTTGTTCTTTCAAATAAATGCCAGAGTATGGGTGATTTTTTCAAAGCACATTTGCAGGCTTACATTTCTGAAGAGGGGAAGAACTAGGTTTTCAAAAGAAGGCAAATCGACCACATACTGCCCGACTGTGTACTCCCGTGTGCCACGAGATGGACCGGCCACATCTCTGTGAGTAACAAAAATACAAATGTACAAATGGCTTTAGTCACAACAAAACAATGAGTGTTTGGAATAGGAGAGTATACCTGATTCGGGACAGGTGACCCCTCTTTCCTGTCAGAGTGACCACATCAAAGCCGACTCTCCGCCCCCCTGCCCTCACCTCCTCTGTGTAAAAACCTTCTACAGTCACTCCCGATGATACCAGAGACTCACAGGCTTTCTGCACCAGAGTGGTCTTTCCCACACCTGCCAACAAATCACAGTATTTTTCTTTTAACATTCTGACATTTTTTTTGCCATTAACATTTTGGTTTATGTTAGGATTACAAAAAAACATATGTATGGCAGGTCATGTTACACTATCACCCAGTTGAGTATTAATTTGACAAGTTCTTGTGTTACTTGATGAAGGCTAGCTTTTCTTTCTTGCATTATGTAGCTTACTTTAGTTACCTTGCTTTACCATATATTGCTCATTCATATTGCAAGTTCGTGAAGGCTTAAGATAATCTTAACACTAGCCTATATTTTTCAATATGAATTCAGGAAATAGCTATTGAAACTGTGTTCTTTACATCTCAATGGTAGCTAACTATGCAAATAAAGCTACGTTTACTACGGTAATGATGCTAAAACACTAGTTTGGGTGATGAAGAGGCACAGCTGTCCTCTTAGCATAGCATAAAGCTGTCTAAACTAAAATAACAACAATAGCTTAGTTAATGGCGTGGTTTTGAAGACGCTAAAATACCCCTTTACTCTCAGAGGGGCCGAGTTACCTGGTTGTCCTGTCAAGAAAACGTGTTTGATCATCCCCACTTCATTCACAACACTCGCCACGTTTCGGCTCTGGGACTTCCGTAAACACTAGACTGACGCATGCGCAGTGATACCCCTAAAATCCCAAACATAAAATAGGTTAATCCCATAGACTGTATATGCTTAATCCTGGTTGACATAATAATCCATAAAATTGTAGAGTTAAAATAATAATCAGGCTTTCTGTTAGTCACTTGTATGTATTTGTTACGTCTAATTCATGCAAGCAGATAAGGCTAATCATAGTTCAGTCTCTACAGTACTGAAGAAAGCACGAGCAATTAAAAATATATAAGTTGCTTATCTTTTTATGTAATGCTCCCTTTTTACCATTCAAATGGGTTGAGGGGGATGGTGAAAATGAAAGGCCAGAGAAATGCATTTTATGGGAAGCTAGTACTATCCACAGGTGTACTATAGGTCAAATTTGCATGGATAGACAAAGCCCATTATTTCAGAAAAGAGCGCCTCTTTGTGAAGCTTGTCTGCAGAGTCTTATATGGACCATAGCTTTTCATGCAAATATCCAGCAGAGCCGAGGGAGATAAAAGACATAATTTTCATAATGTTTTTTCTTTATTAAAATCAAGTAGAGACTGAGCCATAACTGTCATACATGCAAACTCATTCAAATAGTGCAATAACCTTACCAACACATAATGCTTTGTCTTTGCTTTTTGCTCCAGGCAGCTCAAAATATTACCTCCAAACTCTGAATGAAAATAGCAGTACATTTGCATATATTTAGCAGTTATTTATATTTGAGTTGGTGCTGGTATTTGACTTGACGGACATGTGGGGGTTTATATTCAAACTAATACAATGAATGGTTGCACATTACCTTTGCGATTTACTGTACACACTATACAGAGATCAATATATAAAAATAGACAAAACTGTAATATTCTTGAACTAGCTAGTATTACAGAGGTTTGAAGATCAAGAACACAATAACTATAGGCTTTAATTTTCACAAGCAAGTCCTATATCTTAGCAATTTTCTTTTCAATTAACCTTACATTGCATTTTCATTTTACATAGTGTATCCTGGTAGTTTTTGTGCTACCAACTCAGAAATATGCTTGCAGCCCTTTTTGAAATCCAGAGTCCCAAGTTCATCCTCTGTTCCTTCCTCTGTTTTCTGTTCAAATGACGACTCATCTGAAAACCGTTTTATACTTTGTCTACTTTTTGATTCACTCCAACGATCTCCCGTAGATCTCAAGCTATCTCCAGAGCTCCTCTCCTCCTCTCTGCCACTGCCTCCAACTTCTGTCCCCAAATAAGAAGACAGTTTTGAGGGTGCCCTGCCTGTGTCTCCATCTTCTGAAGAAAAACTGACCCCGAAAGTTGGGCGTTGAATTGTATAAGTTGCTCTAAGTGCTCTCTGTGGAGATCTTGATGCTTTAATTGGTACTGGAATCACAGGTCGACGATTCTTTTTGATCATTTCTGGGCTAGAGTTTGAAGATGTACCCAAATCTGAAGGAGTCTTTGTTGTCTTTTGTCTTCGGAGTTCTGGACTAGGACTTGGGGGGTCTGGAGATAAGACATCACTTGTTTCAAAGCTGTTAAAGTCATCAGCGTAGTCCTCCTCTACCATGCTGCGATCTGAAAGGGAAGAATCTGTGCTGCTACGACCGCTCCCACTTCCTGAACATTTCCCTGTGTGGTTGTCAGGACTTGATTGATTTATTTTCGCGCTGTTGTCGCTCTCAACATTAGCAGGGATGTGTATTAGCCTCGAGGGACTTTCAATCAGCAGATTTTTTCCAGAAATGCTTGTGTCGCCATGTGGTGTCCCAATAGATTTAGCAGCAGCAGCAGCATCCATATTTCTCTGTTTCTCCACAATGGATTCTCGTGATGTTGAGTTCACTGTAATGTTTTGCATCATTGTCTCTATATTATCAGTCAATTTTGAACTTGGTGTAGACCTCCTTTTTTCCAAAGTTGTGAATTTTTTAACACTTTTCGGTGTCTCTTTGCTTGTATTATTTTGTGTCTTCCCCTGAAATAAGTTCATGCATTCTCTTTGTTTCAGAACAGGACAGTTTAGCTTAAGCCTTAAATCAAATGATTTTGTTGTCCCATATATAAGCTTCTTTCTTGGAGTACTTTTCCTCTGTCCTTGTATTGGCGTGGAACAGTGTCTCGGGGAGTATAAATCTTTTGATTTGGGACTTGCAACTTGATTACTTTTTGATTCCTTTTGTGATTTTCTAGGTCTGTTTCTTTCAGCAGTTGCAGACTCTGTGGAAGGGGGTCTGTATATCCAAGACAGGTTAGGGTGAACGGTCAGAGGTTGATTGACATTGGGAGCATTTAGTTGTGAAAGTTCAACAAGGAGAGCATTGAGCAGAGGCATCTGTCGTAAGGCCTGACCAATGACATTTGGGGTCACATCACCAGTGGAAAGTTGCTGTTTTTCTTGGCTAGAATTTGCAGCGTTAGGCATCTGTTCCTTTAAGTGCACAGTTTCAGCAATCTCATCCTCTGTATCTCCAAATTTAATAGGATTTAGGTTTGATTGCAGTAGTTTACGGCTCTCCTCTTCATATTTTTTTCTTTCACTGGCTGTATTATTATAATAAAGGTGAGGTGGGCAAAATACTGACATGTAGTCTTCCCCATAACTGTCTGTTTCTTGGTATTCTGGGGGAACTGTGTCCTGTATAATGGATTCCTCATTATTGGAAAGCTTACAGCCTTCACCCTGATCTGATTCCTGCAGATTTTCAGAGTTTACATGCAATTCATCAACTTCTACTTTGTTGATTTTGTCTTTCAAGCATGTGTCCATGTTTGTAGAGGCCACTTTATCATTTACATGTGGCATTAAGCTACTTCCCAGGCTCAGAAGTTTATAACTGAGGAAAATTGTTCCAACTTTCTCTCCCTTGAGGTTAGATATTCCAACAGTTCCTCTTTGTCCATGGGAAGAAGGAGTAGAAATACTTCGTTCAGATACATCTTGTTTTATTTTGTTCATGATTTTGGAGAGAGAAATATGCGAGCTGCCAATAAACTTAGGTATTTCTTCTTTTACATCTAAAACCATTGCGTAAAGAGGCGTGCTTGTCAAATGCATATGCAGCGTGTCCATGTTCATTTTAAAGAAACACGCCTTGCCTCTATTAAAAGTATATTCACCTTTTTTTTCAATCACGTCCTTGTGTTCTGGTTGATAAATAATAAGCGTGGGAAAGTCCAGCAGACGCAACGCTACAGCTAGCTCCTCCGACACTTTTGTTTCTATATCCATCTGAATCGTATCCACCAATAGCTCGAATGAGAATAAAGTTTCCATTTTAAGGCTTTCGTGTATTTACAACCTCATATTTAGAGTCAAAACACAGTAAACACGCTGCTAAATGGGCTAACTTGCTGACGAATTTGTTAAGCTTCTCTCGGCTCCATGGAAACAGCCGTCGCAATAATTGTACGTCACTCAACAGAGGGACTCATGGGAAATGTAGGAAAACGCAGAGTTCGTACCTCCTCTCATCCACAGACTGTAAGAAGCACTCACAAAAGGCAAGTATGTATTAAATGTTCAAATAAAATGCCAGTGTAAATATAGATAATCGCTAATGTTTTAGATGCAATCAATGTATTGTTTGTTTCCCCCGCGAAAAGCAATTGTGCAAATGTGATTTATTCTTTATGAGAAAGTCCTACTGTCTTTTTACTGCACAAACATTTGCACAGTGTTACATGCTAACTTGATTCGGCCAGTGTATAAGCAAATAACATATTATCCTATAAGCTTTGCACATTTCTAAATTATATTGCTAAGTTAATTGTGAACTTGGTATTTTTACTTTATGAAACCTGCAGCAGTTTACAACCATGTGTATCCCACGTGTGACTTTCTACAGTTCACCAGATGGTGCCACTGTAGGGCTTACTGGGTTTAACCCAGACCAAAATAGTCTGACTGATTGAGCGCTTGTTAGGAGAGTTACTTTGCATTAACCAATTATATTATTGTTCTTAGTCTCAACAAGCCGTTTTCCTGAAATAAACTATTTTAGTATTTCTTTTTTCCAGTGCAAGGTTAGATCTCTGGCAACCAATTCATTCAAGCGTCGAGTGGGCGGAGCATGGATCCCTGCGTGTTGTCATCACGGAGAAAGGTGCTGGATGGATATCGCTATGGTCTAGTACTTCAGTCTGGAGGCTGGGACTGAACGGGAGCGATGTGAAGCAGACTACCGCGATTACAACTGGCTTTTACGCTTTTTCGGATAACTAACACCTTTATTCACCTATCGACCTGGTCTGGGGGTCGCTTGCACTGAGAGGTAAGAGTGATTTTTCTTTTCTTTGAAGCAAGTAACAAAGTAAAGTAGGAGTGTGGCTGAGAGTGGAGTAGTGAGAGCAACACAGCCAAACGCGTTCAAACTCACGGCTGTACGTGGCTGCACTGGCGCAACACAAAGGATAAAGTTACTTTCTGTCACTAAGCGTATAGCAAACATGAAAGGGAACGCTATGTTTCACCACGAGTCTATATTTAGTCTAAATTGGTTTCTGTTTTATGAGTCCAACCCTTTGAAGTGAGAACGCGACATGTCAATTGCCCTGTTTATTTATGATACAATCGCACAATTCACTTGTAGCCACGCTTATGATCATATAAATCTAAACTAAAGTTGTTGTTGACTATAAACTCTTTTATTGCGACCATATGCTTTCGTTCTTACTGTGAGCGTCTACAACTCTTTATTGTCACTGATTGAAGTGGTGTTTTTGCGGTAGACGCTCCTTGTATAAAATCAGCAGAAATATTCTTGAATGAACCCATTGCATTGTGGTTCCTTTATCCACCAGACGAGGGCAGTAGACGCAACACTGTGTGCCAGGGTTTTGTGTAATAAAGCCTTTATTTGCCCAGTTGGAGGCTACAAGCAATGATTAATTTTCTCCACAATGGGGTTATCCATTAACCTATCAGAAAACAATGTTGAAAAATGTGTTTTTGCTACCTTTCCTTTGTGCCTTGCATGTTTGTTTACATTTGGAACAGTATGTGGTTGACTATGTGTTTGGATAGAATAATTTCCAGTCTTTCCAGCTGTTTATCTGTTACATAAATTATACCTAGATTGCCTCTTGTATACAAGGTGCAGTGTTTTGGCGTTGTGCTGGCTGCTGCTGACTGTAACCTACTGTACTCCCCATAGGGACATAAACAAACCAGACATTGTTTGCCTTCCAGTTCCTATCCTTTTCTGTTTTCCTGAAGGAAGTTTCGCCTCAAGATAACTAGACATTTCAACTAAAGATAACAGAGCACAAGCTCCAGGTATTGTTTGTTAAGCTCCAGACACAACAAGTTCACATGTTAAGTGAAAGTTTCTAAAGGGTATATAGTTTTGCGACTCTATTTGTGTTTTTAAAAGTCCCCTTTGAAAGAAATTAAGCATTTAAATCACTATGGATTATTTTGGATAGAACTAATGTCTGGGAAATGGACAAAGTAGCCACATGAGGGCTTTTAACATGAGTCAAATCTGTTGTACCGTTTTATTGGTTTTCATTCAGGACCAACAGTGTTTGTCTTAAGGCCCCCAGCTTCGGTCATTTGTCTTTCTGAAATGCCACAGTCATGCCTAATCTCACATAGATTTGTTTTATCTTTTGCTTGGTTATAGATGAGTCAGTTTTCCCAAATACATAAATCCATTTTAAAGTGATTGGTTGTGTCTGTGAATGTCCAGGGTGTACACCACTAAAAGTAGTTGGAACAGGGCTGCTTTTTGAGTTTTTTAATAAGCTATATATATAGTTTTTTGTTTTGTTTAGTTTGTTTTTGCATCTATATCTAAAGCTGCTATTGTTTATCTGTTGGCATACCCCTATTGAATTGCACATGAGGAAACCCGACTGATTGCCATTGTAAACAAAATACATTAATCGGTGTGTAAAAAAATGCAGTTTCTTGCAGTTAACTGTTTACAAATTGAATCATGACCTCATTACAAGATGTCCATTTACCCCTATTAACCCATTTTCTGCATGATGTTGCATTTGTGCATTTATGGAAACTTTCCATAATCATCAACCAAGAAGACCAAATGTTCTTGTCAGCTCATATTTTCACATTAGTCAATTGAGGGCATATATCTACTCACAAGTGAAATCAAGTAGGTCAAGACTAAAGCAGAGCTAAACCAGGGCTAAACCAGAGCTAATACAGAATTAAACCAGGACCAAACCAGGACCAAACCAGGACCTAACCAGGACCTAACCAGGGTCAAACCAGGACTACACCAGTCTAATGCCAACCCAGAATTTAAATGGGTTTCCATTATTGATTTGAGTACACCAAATGTGATGTTGGGAAAAATAAATTGATGTTACAATCGTGTTGAGTCCAGTACTAAGTACGAACCAGTTAAAACATTAAAACAAAGTTAAAACATATTTCAAAGCTTTATTTGTCATTGGTTTTAGAGTTGAGAGCATTACACTTTTGAAATAGCTGTGAAAAGGGCAGCATGAGTGAAATCCTTTCTTCAGGAGGACTCCATTGTATTTGTGAATCAATGGGGAACAAGAAAGATCAAGCTTTGCAGAACACCCACCTATTCCTAATCTAACACAGGACCTTCTACATGACTTCCCATACAACAGATAATTGAGCAAGATTGATATGCCTTTCAAAAATAATCTTGTGTGTACAATTTGTGCTTGGTCTGAACAATGAGGTACCTGTCTGTTTTGACACTTCACGAGCTTCCTGTGACATGCCTGTGGGCCATTTCTAGTTGTTGTCATTGCCGGGCTGTTTAGGATGTCTCGCTAGGGTTAGAACATGCCACACTACAGTTACAATGTTGTGTTTATGTCCGGGTTTGGCCATAACAGATGCAGGGTTTAGGGACATTACTCAACATTATTTTAAGCTTGTCTTGTTAAAGCAATTTGTCACGTCTGGATGGTCAGTCAGCATGTTTTCCTTTTCTTTGTTTTGAGGCCACAATGGTCGGCTGTCACTGTGCTGGTGACCAGTGAAGAATGTGCAGCAATTGTATCATGATCTCTCCCAAATGAATAGATTTAGGCATTTAGGACGTGTCAAAAGCCCAGCCGCTCTGGAGTTATGGCTGAATTAAAAGTGAGAAGTACTTCTAGTATGACATCATGTTTGCAAACAACCCAAATGGTCTGTGCAAAATGATCTGAACCATTTAGAGGGAAAGTCATGAATTTGTCAAATGTAAAGGGTCACAGTTTGTTTAGAAATGGGTTATGATTTCATTTACAATATTTGGGTGCACACCTTCTCAAGCTATATCTATACATATAATTGAAGATCACTGGATACTTCTTTGTGGTTAATCAATGAAAAAGAATTACAGTTTAGCTTTAGGAACTTGGTGACTCGGCTAACTCCTGATCACATGGTTTTAAAGCATGCTTCTTATGCGCATTAACTAAATTCCATATTTCTGACTGTGGGTGAAAAGGGATGGACAATATTGGCAAAAACGTTATACCGTTCAGTTTCCAATAAGTTAATTGTTTACTACACAACATCATCAATATTTTGACAATCTGCCCACCTCTAAATGAACATAACTTGCCGGAAATAACATTGTAATACAAGCACAGTACAGTATTGTTCTGCAACAGCTAAAATGTCTGATAGTGTCTGATCTGTGGAGTGAAGTATATTTAGTAAAGAGCTCTATGCCTCCGCTCCTCCTCAGGCGGGTGCATGTGATGGGGATCATGGAGGTCCTGGTTTGGTCCTCGCTCACAATGGGGCTCTCCAGTCCAAATCCTGCAGCTCCAGAACCAGCCAACCAGCACACAGAGATCACATGGTGCTCACTGCTGTTGTGAGAGACCAGGCTGACTCTCTGTGGCTCTGTTATGACTGCAGTCTGGACTTCTGAAAGGATTAAGCCCACTCATCACTGTCAGAAAGCACACATGCCGTCATTTGGTTGGTGTTTTTTCATGAATTGATCCCATGGTCCGCTTGGGGTTTGGTTGTGATGGATGTGGCTAGTGTACCAGACCATAGCACATGCATGGACTGTAGTGGATGGAGGACTGCAAGAGTGGGCATAAAGCTTCATGAATTAGTGTAAAGGTACATTGCTTTGTTTGGTGTACCTAAATATTACAACAAAACTACATAGATCAGGGTTTGTCCTATGGGCCAATGTGACACATGTTGTGTAGAACTTATACGATACAGCAATAGAGAATGCAGTCATAGCAAGAAAAACTCAGCAGACCAATGTAGCAAGTAGATTTTTTTACCCCATGGCAATTAAAACAATTTCTGACTGGACAGTTTATTGATTGGCTGCCTCATAGATAACATGGCATCATTTTGTTCAATTTGTATGTATGAGAACCACGTTTTCTAACACAGCTCAATGTCCTACTCAGAATGTCCCAATGTCCATTCATTCCATCTCCATCTTTTATTATTCTTACAAATTTCCAAATGTCATTTTCCAAACTGGACTGAAATAGTATTACTCAAAGATCATGTTGCTCCAGCTCCTCCAAGGTCGACTTGTTCTCCTCCAGTTTTCTCTTCATTATAGTCGGCACCACACGCCCTTACAACCACTCATGTGTAATCAGTGTAATGGCATTAAAGCAGCATGTTTAACAGCTTGTCCAGGCTCTGGCATATGTCACTGTGCATCTCTGGACTCCATGGAGATGCCAACAGCCCATTGCACAAAGCAGGGCCATCTTCCTCTTCTTCATAATGGACTTAAATGAGATGTTATGGTGAAGGCGAGTAGCTTCAGGACATGCCTATCTCTGTTGTGGTGTACTGATTGTTTGACGGTTTTGTACGTTAATGTAGTGTGGTAAAGGAGTGTCTGTATCATACTGTGCTGGCTGTTTTTATGTGGTATTCCCTTTTTTGTAATGAAGTCTAGAGGCTTGGCACACTTATAATGTGATTTTATCCCTTATATGATCTGAACACAGGGCTGCAAAATGAATCACAATTGAATCTAAATCACAATTTGAATGGACACAACTGGCAAATCACCAAAATCTGTACTTTTGAAGTAACATCATTTCCTCCATGAACAACAAACTATCCTTTCTTATTCTGTCCAAAAACTGTCTATAGTTTAAATTTGTATGTTCTGAAATGTCATTCTTGTACTACTGATTCATATTTCATTATTTTTGTCAATGTTTAAAATGTGAACTTTGAACAGAACCCTGAAACATAAATCAGTAATCTAATTGTAATCGCAATATTTTAATCACAAAAAATAAGAAATAAAAAAATTGCAAATCGTAAGTCTAC